TCCAGAACAACAGAAAGAAACCAACAGACAGGGCAAGCAATTAAAAAAGGGTGAAAAGCAGAAAAACAACAGCAGGAAAATAACATGACAAGGTTGAGCCAGTATGTATCAGTTATATCCATCAATGTAAATGGCCTCAATTCACCTATTAAAAGAAATAGATTGACAGAATGGATTAAGAAACAGGATCCAACAATATGCTGTATACAAGAAACACATCTGACACAAAGGAAACTCATAGTCTAAAAGTCAAAGGATGGAAAACAATATTCCATGTGACAGGAACCCAGAAAAAAGCAGGTGTAGCTATTCTATTTGCAGACAATGTGAACTTCAAATCAAAAACGGTCAAAAGAGATAAAGAAGATCACCACATACTTGTCAAGGGAATAATTCAAGAAGAGCTAACAATCATAAACATATATGCACCAAACACAGGAGCACCCAATTATATAAGACAAATACTAATTGATATGAAAAACAAAATAAGCAACAACACAACTGTAATAGGGGACCTTAATACCCCTTGTCACAAACAGATACATCAACTAGACAAAAAAATCAGCCAAGAGTGCTGGGGATTTAGCTCAGTGGTATAAGCACCTACCTGGTGAGCACTAGGTTGTAAGTTTGATTCCAGGTACAAAAAAAAAAAAAAAAAAACAGCAAAGAAATAACAAAACTGAGTCAAACCTGTAAGCAAATGGACTTAGTAGGCGTTTATAGACTGTTCCACCCAACCACATCAGAATACACATTCTTCTCACTGTGCACAGGACATTCTCCAAAACAGACCATATAACAGCCCCCAGAACATTCTTAACTAAGTGTAAAGGGAAGTATCCCATGCATATTATCTGACCATGGTGTACTGAAACTGAAAATTAATGGCAAAAGAAATTGCAAAACCTACACAAATACATGGAAATTAAATAACAACCTCTTGGAACAATCGACGGGTTACAGATAAAATTAAAGAAATTAAGCAATACCTACAATGCAATGAAAACGCAGATACAACACATGGAAACCTTTGGGACACAATGAAAGTGGTCCTAAAAAGGAAATATACAGCAATAAATTGTCACATCAAGAAAACAGAACGAGTACAAATAAATAACCTAATGCTACATCTCAACCTTCTAGAAAAATAAGAGCAAGTAAAACTAATAAAAGAGAAGAAATTATAAAGATCAGAGCAGAAATTAATGCAATTGAGACTAAAAAAAACCATATAAAGAATTAATGATCAAAGAGCTGGTTTTTTGAGAGAATAAACAAAATTGATAAACCTCTAATAAACCTTACCAAGAAAAAGAAAGAAAAACACTCAAACTCACACAATAAGGACTGAAAAGAGACAAATTACTATAAATTCAAAAGATCATGAACACCTGCTTTGAAAAACTTTACTCACATAGGGCAGAAAACACAGAGGAAATGGACAGATTTCTAGAAATGTATGAGCTACCAAAGCTGACTCAAGAAGGTCTAAAAATTTTGAATAACCCAATACCAGCTATTGAAATGGAAAAAATGATTAAAAATTACCCACAAAGAAAAACTCAGGCCCTGATAGATTCACAGCTGAATTCTACAAAAATTTAAAGATTTAATGCCAATACTCCTCAAACTCTTCAATGAAATTGAAAGGGAAGCAATTCTCCTTAACTCATTCCTGGAAGCAGGTATTACTCTCATACCAAACCAGAGAAAGACCCAACCAAAAAGAACTATAGGCCAGTCTCACTAATGAACATTGATGCAAAGATTCTCAATAAAATACTGGCAAATAGCACACAGCAAATCATCAAGACGATTATACATCATAACCAAGTGGGATTTATCCCAGGAATATAGGGCTAGTTTAACATACACAAATCAATAAATGTAATACACTCCATCAACAGAGCCAAAGACAAAAATCACATGATCATCTCAATAGATTCAGAAAAAGCTTTTGATAAAGTCCACACTTGTTCATGATAAAAACCCTACAGAAACTCAAAATAGATGTATCTACCTCAATCCAATAAAGGGCATCTATGACAAACCAACAGCCAACATTATCCTAAATGGACAAAAACTGAAAGCTTTCACTCTAAATCAGGAGCAAGACAAGGATGTCCATTATCACCACTCCTATTCAATACAGTTCTGGAAACATTAGCCAGAGCAATCAGACAAGAGAGAGAAATAAAAGGAATAGAGATACGAAAGGAAGAAGTTAAATTATCACTATTTGCAGATGACATGATACTCTACATAGAAGACCCCAAAAATTCCATTAAAAGACTACTATAGTCAATAAACAAATTCAGCAGTATAGCTGGGTACCAAGTCAACATGCAAAAATCAATATCATTACTGTACACAAACAAAAAACTCACTGAGAGAGAAATTATGGGAAATCTCACCTTTCACAATAGCATCTAAAAAAATGAAATGCCTAGGAATCAACCTAACCAAGAATGTAAAAGACCTATATGCTGAAAATTATACTATGCTAAAAAAGGACATTAAATAGGACATTTAGAAATTGGAAGATATTCCTTATTCTTAGTTAGAAAGAACCAACATTGTGAAAATGGTCATATTCCCAAAACTGTTATATAGATTTAAATCAAAATACCATTAACATACTTCATAGATCTAGAGAAAACACTCCTAAAATTCATTTGGAAACAGAAGAAACCTAGAAGAGCAAAGTCAGTTCTGGGCAACAAAGGCAAGGCAAGAGGCATCTCAATTCTTGACTTGAAATTACACTACCAAGCTACAGTGATAAAATCAGCATGGTACTGGTAAAGAAACAGACCTGAGGATCAATAGAACAGCTTAGAAGATACAAACACAACTACAAAGACACTCATCCACCTTATATTTGCAAAGGGGCTAAACATGTTCACTGGAAGAAGGATAGCCTCTTCAATAAACGGTGTTAGGAAAATTGGCTTTCCACATGCCAAAGACTGAAACTAGAACCATGTTTATCACCATGCACTCAAGTCAAAATGGATCAAAGATCTAAATATTAAAACAGAAACACCAAGTCTACTGGAAGACAAGGTAGGAAGAAATCTTGGAGACATAGGGGTAGGCAAAGAGTTCATGAACAAAACACAAACCCCATGGGAAGTACTTCAAAGAATCAACAACTGGGATCTCATCTTATTAAAATGGTTTTGCACTTCAAAAGAAACCACCAACAAAGTGAAAAGAAAACCACAGCATAGGAAAGAATTTTACCCAGCAGTCCCTCAGACAAAGGACATATAGCCAGAACATACAAAAAATTGAAAAACATCAAATCCCCCAAATTCAAAGACCCTCTTCAAAAATGAGCATCTGAGATGGCACACATTTCTTAGGTGAATACATGAATAAATGTTCACCATCACTGGTCATTCAAGAAATGCAAATTAAAACAGCATTGAGATTTCATCTCACTCCAGAAAGAATGGCTGCCATCAAGAAATCAACTGATAACTAATGTTGGCAGGGATGTAGGGAAAAGGGAACACTTCTCCACTGTTGGTGGGAGTGTAGACTGGTGTAGCCACTATGGAGATCAGTATGGAGTCTCCTTAAAAAGTAGGATTAGAAGTTCCATTCAATCCAGCTATTCCTCTCCTGGGTATTTTCCCAGAAAAACTGAAAAGATTATGTCATGATGATATAGGTGCACCATGTTTGTAGCAGTACAATTTGTAATAACTAAATCTTGAAAACAACCAAAGTGCCCATCAACCACAGAATGGATGAAAGAGATGTGGTATTGTTATACAATGGAATATTACTCAGCTATAAAAAGGATGACCTTGAGGCTTTTGTAGGTAAATGGAGGCAACTTGAGAATATCCTCATGAGTGAAATAAATCAGACTCACATTTATAAATATTGTATTGTCTCTCTAGTGTAAATATTGTATTTTTTTACAATATTGTATTGTATTGTATTGTAAAATATTGTATTGTCTCTCTAGTGTAGTGTCTCTCTAGTGGTAATAATAAACTGAAAGAGTAATTAGATCCAAAATGTATAATAGATATTGTAACAATGAAAGAGAAAGAACAACTTGTAGGGATACACATATAACTGAATATATGTTTAAATGTACAAGATAGATAACCTTACTACTAAGTTGTTAATAGTTTATCAAACAGAATAATTTGTGCTGTCATTGTTTGCCTGTTCATTTTTTATGCTTTGATTTTGTAACCTGAACAAGTTCTAAGATAACAATATGTAATTTATCAACAAGTGATTTCTTACTGTTATTTTTTTTTGAAACTCTGTATTATTTCTAAACTTATTCTGTTTTTCTTTTTTCTCTAAATCAAAAAAAAAGACAGGAAAAAAATATCAGAAAATGGGGGTAAAAGGGAAGGGGAGGAGAATCAAGATGTATTATTGACATGTACCAATTCTGCACAGTGAATGCAGTCATTATGCAAAACTTAAAAATTAAAGGCCAGTAAATAATATTAAATAGCAAAAAAAAATATTGTAATAGACCTGCACCTTAAACGGTAAGAGCAATCAGCTGTTGTACCAGCCAGCCCACTATCCATTCAAACTTCCTTTAATAACAAGGATGAACACAAAAATAGACCTAAGTCTGGAAGAGATAAAAGATCTCAAATGGGTATCTTTACCCAAAAAAATCCCAAATAAGCCCCCAAATGTTAAAAGATATACTCATTGCCCCACACTGATTTCACACAATGCTGACAAATGGAATCAAGGATGCACAAAGTAGGAAAAAATTTATTATAGGATAGCTCCTAAAAGCAGGTAGGGATCCAAAAATGGGTAGCCACAGTGACTGTTTGTCTAGGGATTTTTATATAAAAAAATTACCACATCTCGGATCACTCTGAGCCAAGCTGAGTTGAACTGTGGAATTACAACCGGGATAGTTCAACTAGAGGCAGACCTATCGAAACTCACAGCACATAGCAAGTATACTTTTGTAAGCACTATTAAATGTAACTTACCACTAACCCCCGAGCCCAGCCGCACCTAGCCATCTCCTGCAGAGGAGGAGCTGGGCGGATCCGGAGTCCCTGCAGAAGCCCGTTCCTTTGTCTGAAGGACTGAATACTTCTGCAAGCAGAGAGGCATCGCAGCTTCCTGAGGCACCTCAGCCTGTGGTGAGTGCCCAGCACAGTCTGCCCAAATCTCAGACTGTTCCGGACCCCCCAGGCTTCTGGGTGCAGAGAAGTGGAACAGTGGGTTAGAGGCCACTACAGCTGCCCCCCCCCCCCCCCCCGGCTACACTTGGAAGTCTGCTGAGCTCCTGACGGATGGGCGGGCCTACACTAACCCCCGAGCCCAGCCGCACCTAGCCATCTCCTGCAGAGGAGGAGCTGGGCGGATCCGGAGTCCCTGCAGAAGCCCGTTCCTTTGTCTGAAGGACTGAATACTTCTGCAAGCAGGGAGGCATCGCAGCTTCCTGAGGCACCTCAGCCTGTGGTGAGTGCCCAGCACAGTCTGCCCAAATCTCAGACTGTTCCGGACCCCCCAGGCTTCTGGGTGCAGTGAAGTGGAGCAGTGGGTTAGAGGCCACTACAGCTGCCTCCCCATCGCCCCCCCCCCCCCCGCTACACTTGGAAGTCTGCTGAGCTCCTGACGGATGGGCGGGCCTACACTAACCCCCGAGCCCAGCCGCGCCTAGCCATCTGCCTGCAGAGGAGGAGCTGGGCGGATCTGGAGTGCCTGCAGAAGTCCCTTCCTTTGCCTAGAGGACTGTGGATATCTCTGCAAGCAGGGAGGGATCACAGGCTCCTGAGGCACTGTGGCCTGTGGAGAGCACCCTAACCCGGCTGCAATTGAAGAGCTGTGGATCTTCCAAGGGGCAGGTGGGCGCACAGTGTCCCTGAGGCCCAGCTTGTCTGGAACTGCGGAGTTCTGAGCAGGCAGAGGAGGGACACTGGTTCTGCAGGCCCAATGGCTTGGGGTAGTGCGGTGTCAGAGGCTCAGTAGCTCCAAGCATAGAAGGGGATTTTCAACAGATCCTGAGGAAGCTTTCAAATAACACTTGAAACACAGAAATATACAAAATGACAAAACGAAAGACCAAATTACAACCTCAAACCTCCAGCCCATCTCAGGAAACCCTAGGAGCAATGTATATAGAAGAAAATATATCCCATCCACCTCATATATCGGACATAATAGCTACTGAAGTTGACAAACAACTCCAGGAAGCTTTAAAGAAATTCAAACTCGAAATAATCTCCCAGATAAAAGAAGAAATGATAAAAGAAATGAAAGAGATTCTAAATATATCTAAAGAAAACACAGATAAAAAATTGGAGGAACTAAACAAAAAGATAGAATCCCTAGACGAGCAATATAAGAAACAAACAGAATACATAATGCAGATGCACAGAGATATACAGGAAATAAAAAACTCCACTGAAAGTTGTAAAAACCGCCTTAATGAAAGTGAAGATAGAATTTCAGACCTTGAAGACATGATTGCAGCTAGTGAACAGGAAAGGAAAGATCTCTTGAAAATAACAAGGAATCAGGAAACAACAATTCAACAACTGCAAGACGATGCAAAGAAGAATAACATAAGAATGATAGGGATTAATGAAAGAGAGGGAGACAACATAAAGGATGTCAAGAGGATATTTAGAGAAGTAATAGCTGAAAATTTCCCAAGCATGAGATCAGAAACTGACATCAAGATCAGTGAAGCATATAGAACTCCAAACACTCATAACCAAAATAAAACTACACCCAGACATATAATAATCACCATCCCAGAAATCCAACACAAGAATAGATTACTAAAAGCTGTCAGAGAGAAAAGACAGATCACTTATAAAGGAAAACCTATCAGAATCACAGCAGACTTCTCAGCACAAACGATAAAGTCAAGAAGAGCATGGAGTGAAATATTCCAGATCCTAAAGCAAAATGATTTCCAACCAAGACTGATATATCCTGCAAAACTATCATTCAAAATAGATGGTGCAATATGATACTTCCATGACAAAGAACAGCTGAAGAACTTCATGAACACCAAACCGACCCTGCAAAAAATATTGAAAGACAGTTTAGATACACAAAGGAAAAAACCACTAAGCAAAGCAAATAATTAAACAGAACAGAAAGATAAAGATGCAACAGCAGAGAGATAACATTCCTACAATTAACCAGCATTTAACAGTAATAACCATTAATGTAAATGGTCTCAATGCACCAATCAAAAGAAACAGACTAGCAGAATGGATCAAGAAACAAAATCCAACCATATGCTGTTTACAGGAAACCCATCTAACCCAGAAGGATACTCACAGACTGAAAGTCAAAGGATGGAAAACAATTCTTCATGCAGCAGGAATCCAGAAAAAGGCAGGAGTAGCCATTCTGTTTGCAGACAACGTGAACTTTAAACCAACAATGACCATAAAGGACAAAGAAGGTCACTACATACTTGTAAGGGGAAAACTCCAAGAGGAAGAGATAACTATCTTAAATATATACGCACCAAACTCCAGAGCACCAAGTTATATAAAACAATTATTAACAGAAATGAAAACTCAAATTATCAGTAACACAATTGTAACAGGAGACCTTAATACGCCATTGACACCAAGGGACAGATCAACCAGACAGAAAATGAGCAAAGAAATAACAGAACTGAATCATACCTGTGAACAAATGGGTTTGATAGACATATACAGGATGTTCCACCCAACAACATCAGAATACACATTCTTCTCAGCAGTACATGGATCATTTTCTAAAATAGACCATATATTAGCTCACAGAACATATTTAAGCAAATGCAAAAGAGTTGAAATCATCCCTTGCATGTTATCGGATCATAGCGCTCTGAAATTAGAAATTAATGATAAAAGATACTGCAAAAATCCCACAAACACATGGAAACTGAATAACACACTCTTGAGTAATCAGTGGGTCACAGAGGAAATTAAAGATGAAATCAAACAATACCTAAAAGAAAATGAAAATACAGATACAACTTACCGGAATCTGTGGGATGCAATGAAAGCCGTCCTGAGAGGAAAATTTATTGCACTGAGTTCCCACATCAGGAAAACAGAACGAATACAAATAAATAACTTGATGCTACACCTCAAACAGCTAGAAAAAGAAGAGCAAGTCAAGCCCAAAGCCAAAAGAAGAGAGGAAATTATAAAAATCAGAGCAGAAATCAATGCAATAGAGACTAAGAAAACAATCCAAAGAATCAACAAATCAAAGAGTTGGTTCTTTGAAAGAATAAATAAAATCGATAAGCCCCTAGCCAACCTTATTAAAAAAAGGGAAGAAAAAGCTCAAATTCATGCAATAAGAAATGAAAAAGGAGAAATCACTACAGACCCAATAGAAATACAGAAGATCATCAACACCTACTTCGAAAACCTCTACTCTCAAAAGTTTGATAACACAGAAGAAATAGACAGATTCTTAGAAGCATATGAAGTGCCAAAGCTAGATCAAGAGGATGTAAAACTGTTGAATAACCCAATCTCTGTCACTGAAATTGAAAATGTAATTAAGTCCTTACCCACCAAGAAGAGCCCAGGCCCAGATGGATTCACTGCAGAATTCTACAAGAAATACAAAGAAGACCTAATGCCGACACTCCTCAAACTGTTCAATGAAATTGAAAGGGAAGCAATCCTTCCTAAGTCGTTCCTGGAAGCAAATATTACTCTAGTACCAAAACCTGAGAAAGACCCAACTAAAAAAGAGAACTATAGACCGATCTCCCTAATGAACACAGATGCAAAAATCCTCAATAAAATATTGGCAAATAGGATCCAGCAAATCAACAAGAAGATTATACACCATGACCAAGTGGGATTCATCCCAGGAATGCAAGGATGGTTCAACATACGCAAATCAATAAATGTAATCCACCATATCAATAAAGCCAAAAATAAGAATCACATGATCATTTCTATAGATGCAGAAAAAGCCTTCGATAAGGTCCAACATTTATTCATGATAAAAACTCTACAGAAAATTGGAATAGATGGTCTTTACCTCAATATAATAAAGGCCATTTATGACAAACCAACAGCCAGCATCATTCTAAATGGCCAAAAATTGAAAGCCTTTACTTTAAAATCAGGCACAAGACAAGGATGTCCTTTATCACCACTCCTATTTAATATAGTACTGGAAGTACTAGCCAGAGCAATTAGGCAAGAAAGAGAAATAAAAGGGGTAAAGATAGGAAAAGAAGAAGTTAAGATGTCGTTGTTTGCAGACGACATGATACTCTACATAGAAGACCCCCTAAGCTCCATTGAAAGACTCTTAGATACAATAAATAAATTCAGTAATGTGGCTGGATACAAAATCAATACTCAGAAATCAATAGCATTCCTATACTCAAACAACAAAATCACAGAGAGGGAAATAAGAGAAACTGGACTATTCACATTAGCAAGCAAAAAAATGAAATATTTAGGAATTACTCTTACGAAAGAAGTGAAAGACTTATACAGTGAAAACTATAATACACTGAAAAAGGAAATTGAAGATGATCTCAGAAAATGGAAAGACATCCCTTGCTCATGGATAGGAAGAACAAACATTGTGAAGATGGCCATTCTCCCAAAACTCTTATACAGATTCAATGCAATCCCAATAGAAATACCATCAACATACCTTATAGATCTAGAGAAATCACTCCTAAATTTCATCTGGAACCAGAAGAGACCTAGAATCGCAAAGGCAATTCTAAGCAGCAAAGGCAAAGCAGGAGGCATCACAATCCCTGACTTGAAATTATACTACAAAGCAACAGTAGTAAAATCAACATGGTATTGGAATCAAAACAGAGACGAAGATCAATGGAATAGATTAGAAGATACAACCACAACTACAAACACACTCAACCACCTTATCTTTGATAAAGGAGCCAAGCAGGTTCACTGGAAGAACGATAGTCTCTTTAATAAATGGTGCTGGAAAAACTGGCTCTCCATTTGCCGAAAACTAAAGCTAGACCCATGTCTATCACCATGTACTAAATTAAAATCTAAATGGGTCAAAGATCTGAATATTAAAACAGAAACACTAAATCTATTGGAAGACAAAGTGGGTAGAAACCTTGGAGACATAGGAGTAGGTAGAGAATTCATGAACAGGACTCAAACCGCACGGGAAACACTTCCCAGAATCAATAACTGGGACCACATCTTATTAAAAAGTTTCTGCATGTCAAAAGAAATCTCCAGCATAGTGAAAAGAAAACCCACAAACTGGGAAAAGATTTTAGTGAACTCTCTCTCAGACAAGGGACTCTTGTCTAAAACATATAAAGAATTAAAAAAACTCAGACCTCCAAAATTCAAAGATCCAATCCAAAAATGGGCATCTGAGATGAATACGCAATTCTCAGATGAAGAAATGCAAATGGCAAATAAATATATGAAAACATGCTCATCATCATTGGTCATCAGAGAAATGCAAATTAAAACCACACTGAGATTCCATCTCACTCCT